GGAGGATCGGAGGCTGAAGAGGAGAGAAATGAAGAAAAACGCCATGGTGAGCTCCGGTCCGAGGCGTGGGCGTTTGCTGCCTGCGGCAGCTTGTCAAAGCTTGGGAGGAGCTGTGTGGGGAATGACGCTCTGCTGAGCCTGCCATGGCGGGGCTCAGGGAGGGGGCCGAGCACCTTCCTCCTTGCTGCGAGCCTAGAGTGTCCTAGGAGACCTCCGAAGCTAATAACGTGAGCTCAAGTATGTCAGCTCTGAAAGAATGAATTTCCACTCATACCTTAGCCTTTAGTGTGGTTGTTCCCAGTCAGTGATGTCCTTGCCACCCTCTGATGAATTCCCAGCCCCCTTGTCTGCCAGGTGTGACTAGTTCAGTGCATTTCTGTATGTCATTGATCAGAACAATGCTCCTGCTGATTTGAGACTTCTCTGAGGCACTTCCTGCTTGGGAATTGGCACTAGATCCCCAGCAGACTCTAATAATAAAAGCAGCTTCCTACCTCAGCACAAGCTTACACATTCAGCATAAGCTTATGTGTAATGTAATCTGGGAACACAGGAAAGAGAGCTACTACCAATTAATCCAAGACACCCAAGTTCTTCATGAATTGTGTAAATAAATTGTAGGACTGGTGCAACGTTGCTTCTGTTTACCTAAGCACTTTCTGCAGTCGTGCTTAAGGAGCCTGGGGAATGGTGCTGTAGTCAAAATCAAGTGTCACAGTTCACCCAGGGCACTCGTTTTTCTGTGAGTGAATGCCCTATATGGTGTGGAGTTGGTGAAAGAAGGAAAATACAGATAATAATGTGGTTTAGTGGCATAGACTGCTGACAGTTGTTTCGTGGCAGGGTACAGTGTCTCTTTTGTTTAGCTGTCTTTTCCTTGCGGAGAAAATCCCTTCATGTGTTTGCATCCTAAAAAGCTGGAAGGCCTTATGAGGCTGAGACTTTGAGTGCCATTCACAGAACCCTGACTTTTTATGTTAGAAAAATCTCACTACTTGAAAGACATTCTGGTAGTACCCTCAAGGTTCCAGCCAAGAGAAGTGATGGTCTAGTAAAAGTTACTGGTTATAGAAGGTAATCAGATAATAGGAGTAAGCGAATTCTTCAGTAACGTCACCTCTGAACCCCACAGTGTCAGTTGTCTGTGAAAATGTGTATAACCCACTTTTTATTTTCAAAGGTATGTTTCCACTGTAGAGAACCTGGCCACGGTGTTGCTGACTGCCCTGCAGTACTGGAGAGTCAGGATATGGGCACAGGAATCTGCTACCGCTGCGGGTCCACCGAGCACGACATCGGCAAGTGCAGAGCAAAGGTGGATCCGGCCGTTGGTGAGTCTCAGATCAGTGCTTTTCAAGAGCCTTTGCTCTGAATTTTTCAACTACTGAAACAGGAGCTTTGTGTCTGAGTAATTTAACCCTTCTGAGGACGGAGTTAGTATGTTTAAAGGAATACAATGTTGTAGCCATGAAACTAACAGTGCGGGAGACAGTATAGTGCTTACAGAGTAACAGTGTAGTAAAATGTTGTCAGTGTAGCATGTTCACATTGTCTGTGCCTACAAAGTTTTTAATGTGGATCCTGAACTGTATGGGACTTTGCAGGAGCATTTCCATATGCAAAATGTTTCATCTGTGGTGAGATGGGTCATCTGTCAAGGTCGTGTCCAGATAACCCCAAGGGACTGTATGCCGAAGGTGAGTACGGTGATTTACTGAAACCAAAACACACTTTTCATACTTACCTGATACATAACAAAGTGACATTGCAAACGAATGAGGACCTGACTAAAAGGAATTTCCAAGTATGCTCCACTGTTGGCAAAAGCAGATTAATTCTGGGAAAATTTGTGTTAATATTGGTTACCTAGGGTTTTCTGCTTTTATTGTAAGCTTAGTGCTAAACAATGAGGTGAGATGCAAAGTATAAGAACTTGCTTGTGCTGGCAATATCAAGAGGCAGGCAGAGAAACAAAATCATGACAGGGTGTATATATGTAGTCAGCCTGCATTCAAGTTAACATATACCAAAGTACACGGTAAAAACATCCTCATAGTGTAGCTCAAGGCTTTGGGAGGTGCTCACATAAAACAAGGGCTCTCACTAGAAAGAGGATGTCTTTAGTGTGAGTGGGTAATGGGAGACGTGATCTAGGTTCAGAGATTTCACCTGGATTCTGCTCTGCCTGATCTCTGTTGGCAGTAACAATTAGCTTTCTGTCTCCCAGTACAAACCTGAGGTCTGGACACTCAAAAGGGTGATCTTGCAGCACAGTTAACACTTTGCTTCCAGTGTTTGGTTTATGAGTACAGTTTGTATCTCAGTACCTGCAGCTGGATTGCCTTCCTCTCAGGAGCTCCTGTTAATTTCAGAAATACCTTTCAGGATAAATTTTAGCAGAACTCAACGTGTTTCTCAAAAATAGAGGTTCTGGCAGACCAGAAATACTGGGAGTTCCAGTCACCACTTAGTGAGTGTGTGATGCTGTCCTGAGCAGCACGATTACAGGCAGCTCTGTCTGTCCATCAGGGACACAGAGGAAGCTGCGTTTGCAGGCTTCCAAACCTGGCTGCCTGTCTGCTCCACCATGTGGGATAGACCTGTCCACAGGGACAGTTCCTCATCTTATTTACCAGTTGTCACCACAGGTAGGTGGAATGAGATTTGTCAATGTACAAGAACAGTTAGAGTGTGGGAGGGTTTTTTCTTGTTTGTTTGTTTTGTTTGGTTTGGGTTTGCTTGTGTTATGCTTGGGGTTTTTTTGGCAGATGAGTAACAGCTTCCTCTCTTAACAGGTGGTGGCTGCAAACTTTGTGGCTCTGTGGAGCATTTCAGAAAAGATTGCCCAGAAAAACAGAACGCAGGTGAGGCGCAGGAGAGCGCACAGAGTGGAGCTTGCATGCACAGTGTAGTAGTGTTTATCTGCTGCTTTGCCTGGCTCTGGTCAGGAAAAGAGTGTTTGAGAAGAGAACTTGCAAATATCAGAGGTGACCTTCCTTTGGGAACGTGAATGTTTATGTTAACGTGCAGCCAGGCATTAAGCTGAAATGCAAAGGTTGAACTTTATGTTAGTAAAAAAAATATTGGCTGCTGGGTTTCTGGAGCTAGTGGGTATTTGTTAGCCAGGATTAATGCTGTGGTTCAAAACTTGGCTGTAGAACAAAACTGGTTTCTCCATTTGATGAGTTCTGCATGAGGTGGTGGAACTGAATGTAATGCAGTTTCAGGGTGGTGGTTGAGGCAGCCCCTAAAAAGTGCCCGTGCTGGCAAGCCTTCAAGTCATTTGAGACAGGAGAGAAAGAGGAGACAGGAGATCTGCCTGGCTAAGAAGTTGCTTATGTGTGAGATTGAGTCTTAACTGGTATAACAGACATTTCTGGTACAAAAAAAACTCTTCAGCATGTCCCCTGCTCATCAGCTGTAGCAGATTTTTGGGCAGTGCTCACTGGGGTGACTGCCGAGTCGACAGCCTGTTAACAGAGCCCAGGTTGGATTTCTGCATGCCACACTTAGGGCACGCAACCCGTGAGTGCTGAGTGCTTTCTGTAAATCAAAACCCCCTACAGCTGCAGCAGGGGAAGAGCAGCATTGGTAGGGAACAGCACTGCTCAAAGCTGCACCAGCTTTGTTGCTGGAAGCTACTGGAGGTGCCAGTCCTGAGTGGTTGGCACACCCCTATGCAGGTCTCTGCTCTCTGGCAGTAGGCCTCCAAATTATATGTGAAGCAGAACTGGAATTATTTTCTACCTTTATTTTGAGGAGTATTTTGGCCATAATAAAGACTGACAACTACTGTTTAATTTTCCAAGGGACATCTTAGTCTTTTCTTGGATGTTTCAAAACTAGTATTGCTGGTTAAAAATAGTTGAATGAATTGGAACTGTGACAGCACTGATAAGAACTAAAATATTCTTTGAAATCGGTTTGCATCATGCAGAATACTTTTAGACTAGAGAAAGATAGCTGAAGAACTTCAGGCACTACAGTTTATAACTCCTTCAGGTGGGATTATTTGGCCTGCTTTAATACACAGAAGTTAATCCAAGAAAACACTGATCTACCTATGTGATATTCATCATATGATTTGATCTGTTACTCTCAAAATCAGGTTGTCATTCAGAAAAGAAATACCAGCTGGTTAACAGTGTTTTTCTCTAGGAAAGGGGTGTGGATTGGTCTAGGTAGCATTTAAACAGAAAAAGGATGATGTTGAGAAATGTAAATTTTGCTCTGTTGTGCCTCCTGAGGCTTAGTAATAGAGAAGGCCTTTATCTCTTTATATCAACATCAAGAGATGCTTGACATAGTCTGAAATCTTTGTTGTAGGGGTTATTTGGGCTTAGGTAGAGCTAATGTATCTTCTGCATGCCCTTCGAATGGTCCTTTGGACAGTTCAGTAGGAAAAACCACGTAGTGATCTCTGAACCTTCACAGTCTGCACTGGGGGAAGAAAGGGAGTGTACAAAACAGAATTTAAAAAAAAAAAAAAAAAAAAGTTGGTTGCATTAGGAGAGTTGTCATCAGAGCTGGAACTAAATGAACAGATCTTCAGTCAGGTGATGGCAGGTCCTTGCAGGCCGGGTCCTCCAGAAAGGCAGGAGCTTGGTGTGACAGTGGTTACAGCCTTTCCATCACCTCTTGTCTCTCCCTCTGCAGGTCAGGTCACGGTTGGGCGATGGGCCGTGGGGATGAGTGCAGATTATGAAGAAACTGCAGAAGCACCAAAGCTGCAAACGCCAAAAGCGAAAGCACCCAAAGTTGTTACCTTTTGAAGGCCTCTTGGCTCTGAACCACAGTTAGCCTGCACTGCTTCTCTCCGGAGCAGTGACTGCACAGAGTGGATTGCTGGTTCCAGAAAATCCAGTAAACTCCTGCTGCTAAATTTATTTTTTTTTTCCCCCCCCTCATTGTTCCAGTTTGCCTCCCAGGCTCGCCTAGCTTTCTGAAAAGCTGGAAACAACAGAAGTAACAGCAAGGGTGTGTTTTATTTTTATGTATCTGCCAAAGTAGAGCATTCCCTCTGATTTACATTCACTCTCACTGCCAGCTCTCTGAAGGGGGAAAGTGGCTTCTTCTCGTGAGGGGGGCCTGGTTGCAGTAACCAAGCAGGGTGTGTGCATTTTATCACAGGGGTTTATGATCACTGGATTTCGGTGGATTTTCAGAATTTACCTTCAGAGTGCTGCGTTTGCTTCTGGGAGATGAACACAACCATGCTGATCATACTAAAGAGTATTTCTCTGAAAGGGATTGTGGGTATTTTTCTAAAGAATCTTTTTGGTTTCTGGTTTGGTTTTGCCTCCTCCTTTTAGAAAGAATTGTTTTCTTGCTCTGTCTGTGCCAGCTTGAGCAGCCTTCTGGTGAAGTCACCAGGTAAACCCTCCAGCCTGGAGAGCTGGGAGGTGCAATTCTTGCTACTTATGGTAGATCAAGTAAAATACATACATGGATTAACCTGATTGTCAATCCATGTTGGATTGTTTTTGAGTACTTGTTCACTAAGAAACAAGAGTCATACCTTTCCTCTAATACCTCTGCTGAAATGCACCTGAAAAGAGCTGGAGAGCACGTAGATTCTTTACTCTTTTCAAGGAAAGTGATCAAAAATCTTCAGTGTTTCATTTGGTGAGTTGGGAGTAAACTTTGCTTTGTGTTACACATGCCTGCCTAATGGCAGAGCTACTTATTTTTAAAGGGAGACTGCAGCCTGAAAGACTGCGGCCTCACAAGAATGGCTATGTACTAACAGTTACAAAACCAACTCAAAACGGGGCTCCTGCAGCAGTGAGTCTGAACAGAGGTGGGCTCTTGTGTGGTCTGAGGGTCTCTCCTGAGGTGAACAAGGGAGCAGGACGTTGCTGGAGCTCTTCTGGCACGCAGTGTGTCTGTTGGGACCGTGCCGTGCGGGGAGGCTGCTCTGTCCTCTGCTGCAGCTGTGGTAGCCATCCGGCAACTATGGAGCGTCAGCCTTCCGAAAAATCTTAGATGTGCCTTCTAAAAACTTCAGCTTGCATTATATTGTTCTGAGCAATGATCCTTGAGGGAAGGCTACCCAGTGGCAAAGCTATTGCTGCTGAGGAATTAATTTCCTCTCCCTAGAAGTATCCTAGCAGTCCATACATCGCCCTGGGGAGAGCACAGGAGGAACACGTCAGAGCAGCCTTGAGCTCGGGACTGGGTTTGGAGGTGCTTAGGACCAGCCATGGAAACAATGGGTTTGGAATGTACTGTTCTTACAACAAAAAAGCGATGTAATTGTGTGGATGTATTTTATATTTGTACATGTGAATTGTTTCCAGTAAAATGCTGCTAAAGAATACAGTAGTTGGAGCTCTTACTTCAGCCTTCCTGGTTCCACGCTGGATCCGAAGGCATGCTATGTTGAGTAAGATGGGCTGTGTATAATCAGTTTATAATCATCAGAGCACACATTTAAATGGAGAAGAGGATGTGGGTGAAATCAAAGATTAATTACAGAGCTTTTAATTAACTTTTGGTGAAAGCTCAAAGCAGTTATCACTTTAATGTGGATGTTTTGCAACATAAATTTATCCCGTCTTAAAAAGTGCTTGCCTTTCTGTTATAAGTATATTCTTTAAAAAGCATGTTTTTAGAGCATTTTCTGACTTTAAAAACTCCTTGTTGCTATAGTATGTTCTTCTACCCATAGGGACTTGAAGCCATGCACTGTGACTTTCCCAGTGGTACCAAAACTCCCCAGAGAAGGGGTTGCTGGAGGCAGTGTGGTGCAGGAGTTGTGGTGTCTCCTCCTGAGGAGATGGCTGCTGCGGGCCCCTGGCTTTGAGTAAGACATGGTCACCCCGTTGTGCTGCTGCCACCCGAGGCAGAACTGGCCCTCTGACAGACTGCAAAGCTACATGGTGTGTGACATATAAGTTGGAAAAGTTGCTGTTCCCTTCCCACAGCTGATCACTGCTCCTTCTGCTCCGTGAAAGGGATTGCCACAACCAGGATGACTGAGTGGGTGGGCAGTTGTGGTGAAAGAAATCCTGCAAGAAGCAGTGGATTAACCTTTGTTCTCACTCAGAGTGGTGGAGCACAAGCAGGACATGCTAGTATCCAGCATGCCCACCCTCTTAAGCCCACCCTTCTCTTCAGCACACTGATGTAGTCCTTGTAGTGCTCCTGTGGAGGCAGTGAGGAAACAACCATTGCTGGATATGGCAACCTTCAGTTTCATACCCGTTGCTTTCATCTGTCTTGCACTATAAAAACAGGTGGGGGCTCATGCACCTGAGTACTGATCTGTTGTCCTCTGAGAAGAAATAATGGACTTCAGACTTAGAAACAGGGTTCAGTGTCTGTGAGAACGTTTCATAAAGGCAGCAGCTGTTTTCAGGTCATCACACCTGTGCTTACGTGGGGCTCGGAAGCACATATGCCTCTCTCTTGTCCTCTGCTTCAAGGGCTGCTGAGGAAGGTGAGCCACTGAAATCCTTGCACTGTTGGATAATGCTACTTGTTGAAAGTACCCACTCATCTCTTTTCAGACAATTTCACAAAGATGAGTGATGGCCGCATCCAGAGCGTGGCCCTGCTTTGCACAGCAATGGCCGAGGTCTCTAGGGAGCAGGCAGCAGAACCTCTTGTAGAGGCATTTTTTTCTCAGAGAAAAAAGTTCTCCAGATAGTCCCTGCTGCTGTCTCACAGCTGAACTCAGTGTCTCTAATGTCAAACTACAAACTGTGCTACATAGGAAGCCACCCAAATAGCTGGTAAGAAGGAGCAGGTAGCTTTTGGGCTCTTTGTCCCTGATGTGGCATGCATGCATTCAGAGCTGAACATTAGGTGTCTCTGTTCACTAGAAATTGGGGTCACAGAGACTTAGCTTCCCAGGCAAGAGCCTGTCTGCCATCATCTGCACAGGCAAGTGTGGGCAGGACTCAGAGCTGCACGGAGAGGGCTGGACCCTTCTGTTACCAGCTGAGCCAGGGCAAGCAGCCCCCAGGGGTGGTTGTGTTCTGGAGGGGGCTGCTGCCCTCACTGCCTAGGCTGATGGATTGCACCTTACACTTGGGGTAAAAATGACGACCCACGCTCAGGGTCTGGGTCTACAGCCTCTCCTCCAGAGGCAAAGCCCAGGGCTGGCTGTACTTGTTTTGCTCCCATGCCCAGGAATGAAGTTGTTGGTCAGCAGCCAGCCTTTGCCAGGTGGAGAACACCGCGGCTGATTTCAGTAGCCCTGTGGTTCAAGGCTGTACCCAGCCTACAGTAGTCTTGTGCCCAGGCCAGGTGACTCCCGAGGCCCCCACACCCAGAGGGCTCCCAGGACTCCAGCTGTGTCTGCTGCTGCACTTGGTAGACGTGCCATGTGTGAAATGTGCGGGCGTGCTGCAGCCTACAAACCGCTGGCGAAAGCTTTGACTGGGCTGTGGGTTAGACTGGAGAGGTGTGTGAGAGGAACGGGAACAGACCCCTGGGGCTCACGCTCTACCCGTTATGAGACCACAGCAAGATAAAATGGCACTGCCACAGTTCACATGCTTGGATTCTTTTAACACGTTATAATCTAACTGCTGATGATTACACTCATTTTTTTCTAAACAAGGCTCTTTTGAGAAAAAATAAGAGCTGAAAACAAAGCAGATGCACCACAATAAAGCCTCTGAAACTATTACCACTTTTCATCTGTGAGGGAGTGGATCCAAGAGTCTCACTGCTCTGCATTTATTCAACTCCAGCAGAACAGCCTCCACAGAACTTGCCAGCAGGAGGTCATGGCCCTTCTGTAAGAGACCAGGAGCCCCCATCATCACAACAAAGCAGCCTTTCTGGAACATCTGAAGCCATTCCAGAGATACTGCAATAATGTATGCAATGGATTTTTCACCTCTGAAACAATAATTTATTGGAAATCACAGGTAAACTACAAGTATTAACAAAGAACAAACATTAGCAAACCCTAACTTATGTGGAGTGTAATTAATTTATATACAATGGGTGTGCTGGATTAGATACTTGGTACCACTACTTAGCTGCAAATCACACAGAGTGCTACTTACTGACTTAAAACTGAGTGCCATTACATTCAATATAATATTAAAATAGTCTCATGAGCTACAATTCAAGTTCTGCCTTCACTTATATAAAATTCATGAATGCAATCAAGAACAGAATCTGTCCCTTAATCTTTTTTAAATTAAAAATTGAATTTAGACCCTAAGGCCTTATCTTAATTTGATAGAAAGTGCTTGTACTAGATACTCTCAAGCTCAAGCCCAGTCTTGTTTGGCTACATGATCCAAAGTAACTAACCTGTAGAGAAATGATTGACACATGAACAGGACTTTAGACCATTCCTG